GAGGCTGAGGAAGGAGTATCACTTGAGCCCGAAGGTTGAGGCTACAGTGAGCTATGATCATGCCACTGCACTGCAGCTTGGGTAACAGAGCAAGATGATGTCTCAAAATAATAATAGTATTAATAAGCTTTTCTTCTTTTACTACTGTAGTAAAAACAAAAAACACACACAACATAAAATTTACCATCTTACCCAATTTTAACTGTACAGTTTAGTAGTGTTAAGATCATTCACACAGTTGTACAACAGATCTCCAGAACTTTTTCATCTTGCAAAACTCAATCTCTATATCCATTGAACAATTCATCATTTCCTGCTTTCTCCAGCCTGGGGTAACCATCATTCTACTTTTTGTTTCTAAGAATTTGATCACTATAGATAACCTCATTTAAGTGGAATTACGTAGTATTTATCTTTTTGTGATTGACTTATTTCATGTATGTGAAAGGTAAAAAAAATGAAGTTACCAAATATTTTATTAAAATTAAACATTAATGGGTTTCATGCCACTGAACTGTACACTTAAAAATGGCAAAAATGGTAACTTTTACATATATTTCATCACAGTAAAAAAAAAAATGGAAAAACACTCAACACTAACTGTAACAGTTAGACCAGTTAGAACAAAAAAATCATTTCTTATGGAAAGGTGTTCTATCATTAACATAGTTTAGGATTGCTGGCACGTTGTAGTAATAAAAAGCACACTAAATTTAATCAATTTAATTATGATTGTGTTTATATTTTTGGCCAGCAGTTCACTTCCTTATTGCCCGTCCCCCAGGACTGACTGCCCCCCTCCCTGGGCACAACACTACTGCAAAATATGCCAAGAGCAGGATCTGACAGCTTTACCATGAGGCTGTCCAGCAATGTGGGCTCCCATGCTCACATATTTAAAGTGGGGTTTTTCAGTAACTCAGTCAGTTCAGGTTGCCATAACAAAATACCATGAAATTGGTAGTTTCTAAACAATTGGCATTTATGTCTCACCGTTCTAGAGACTGAGAAGTCCAAGATCAAGGGGCCAGCAGATTTGGTGTCTGGTGTGAGGCTGTTCCTTGTTGCACTCTCACATGGTGGAAGGGGCTAGCTAGCTCTCTGAGTCTCTTCATAAGTGCATTATGCCCTCACTGCTAAAGACACCCTCTTCTAATACCATCACCTTGGGTTAGAATTGCAGCATATGAATTTGGGGGGGTAGAAACATTCAGACTATAACAACCACCACAGGACATTTGTCTCCAAGTTTCTATATTCTTGATGCATCCCGCCATGAAACCGGCAGAAGCCATGCTCACTTTAATTGCATTAGGGAGCTCTCTTAGGAATAAACTTATTTCACCATCAGATTCACCAGAAGAGAAGTGATATGAGGTGAGGCTAAACAGATCTCCTTCAGGCAAACAAACATACTGATTTGTGTGTGTGTGTGAAAACATTCTTTTCCTTTAACTCATTGAACTATTAGGAGAGGGCAAAAACAGAACTGACTACTTTGCCAATCCCCAAGTCTTCACTGAATGACTCTTCAGGACTTTGCTGTCATGGTCCCAGCTAGTGTTTTTATTTGTCTGTCTTTTCAGAGTGGTGAGTATGGACAGAATATCTCCTCTGAATAGAAACAAGAGACCAGGTTGCTGCAAGGCCACAGCCTCTTATTCACAGTATCTAAGATGGAAACCATTCGTTCCTGGAAACTGAGGTGATGAAAAGACCCATCCCATTCTAAGCTAGGGATGGAGTATCTTGACCTCACTCTGCCAATCTGCCCTAGCTTCACACTATGGTCTCACTGTGTGGCCTTAGGCAAATTACTTGGCCTCCACACAAAGCTCCATCAACTCATCTGTAAAATGAAGATAAAAATAACTACCCTCAAGGGTACTGTGTGTATTTGAAAAAACAGACAATGCATTTGGCACTCAAGAAGTATTTATTCCGAGTCCCCATCCCCCTCTTCTTCATACTTGCTGCATACTTCAAAACCAGTATTTCCAAACACTTCTCTCTGTTCCACAAAAGCTGTGTCTAAAATCTTTCAGTGTCCTTCTTCTACCTGTAATGCCCTCCTTGAGAACAGGAACTCTTGGTTGTGGGAGATGAATTCTACGGAAAGGCTCCAGAACACATGTCAAAAAGGAAGTTTTAAGAACATGAAAATAACACTAAGTTTATATAGCACACACCCTCTTTATAACATAGAACTTAAAAACTGAGTGCCAGCTCAAGATAGAGCACAGGGTCCTTATATATTTCACACCAAGGAGGAGAGGAAGTCTTGGAAACTAGATCAAAGCAGACTTGTGCTAGAACAAGTTCAGGAAGATGTCAAGGACTTTGGAGTCTCCGTGCTCTTTCAAATCCTACAAATGGACCTCCAGTGGCCTCATCCACTGAGGCCCAGATTGGCCCCCCAGAGAGAGGCTATGCAAGGGATGAAGAATCTTGAAGGGACTCTGCCAATTCTACCAATCAGTCACTTCATGAACACTGTACTGGGTTTGAATATGGGTCTAGTTGTCACGGTACACATAGTAGGTACCCAAGTATTTGCAGAATACATGAACGACAATATATAATGGGCTTAAATGTAACAAACTCCTTTATGTTCCAAGGTAATCAGCCAACCACAATTGTGATGCTGATATTACAAGTATTGCTATTTTGGTAATTCACTGAAGATTTTTGAATAGGATATTGAATGCCTAATTGGAAGCAAGGGCTAATTGTGAAGGCAAAAGACTCCTACAAGGGAAATGTGATTCTTAAGACATACTTTGCATGAATAATGCTTTTTTTTTTCTTGGTTGCAAACAATAGAAAGAGACTCTGATTATTTTAAGCAGAAAAGAGATTGGAAGGGTACACTAGTTTGCAGCAAAAGTCTGCTCAGGAGGTTGCCAATAGCCCTCTTGCCCCAGTCACTATCACACCACCAGACCTGAACATATACAGGACCTCTGATCCTGCAACTTTGTTTCATGCTCTTAAGACTCAAAGTCCTGAGTGTAAGCATCAGTCTGACCACTTCTCAAGATTTTGGTCCCTGTTTCTGGATCCAGTGATGGGTGACTTGTTACTTGCTATTCTACTTCCATAAAGAGGTATATATTACCCTCCATTCTTCTTGGTATGAAGCAAGACAGTAAGGGTATTCTGACACAGAGAAGCCAAAACAACAAATGTCCCTTGTGCATCCCTGCTGAAAGTAAACAGTTCTAAAGAGCTTTACTCTCAGGCGGGCATGGTGGCTCACACCTGTAATCTTAGCACTTTGGAAGACTAAAGCGGGTGGATCACGAGGTCAAGAGATTGAGACCATTCTGGCTAACACGGTGAAACCCTGTCTCTACTAAAAATACAAAAACAAAATTAGGCAAGCATGGTGGCGGGTGCCTGTAGTCCCAGTTACTTGGGAGGCTGAGGCAGGAGAACGGCGTGAACCTGGGAGGTAGAGCTTGCAGTGAGCCGAGACAGTGCCACTGCACTCCAGCCTGGGTGACAGAGTGAGACTCAGTCTCAAAAAACAACAAAAAAAACCTTTACTCTCTTCATCTCCTGCAACTAACCTGGGTGAACTTTAGTTTTCCTGGTCCTACTTGCCGCACTCAGCAAAGCCACCCTAACCTATGCATCATTAGCATGGAGGTTCTGTCAACACAGAGAAGTCAATATGCCCTTTTTCAAAGTGGAGGAGACATTGTGAGAATCAGAGTAATGTATCCGTATCTTCAGTGTTTGACAACTCTGTTTTTCTCCCTAAATTAACTGGACAGACTCCATTAATATTTGGAAAAGTCAATTTTTAAAATGATAGTTCTATCATAGTTTTAGCTTTCAGAAAATTCGACTTACTTAGACATATAATCTAGGACTTTTTTGGCAGGGGGAGAGAGGGAGCTTAAAAGCCCTCCCACTGTTTCATTACCCCTCTCCCATACCCAGCACTCAATTTTCTTCCCTCTGACACTTTCCGCTGTAACCAGATGCATTGTTTCACCAACTTACCCTCCCAGGCTTGTTTGTGTTTCACTGACTCTCAATTTGTTTTTGCTACTTTTGATCGTTAATTTTTTTTTCCTGGTTCATAAGTAATTTTAAATTATGCAAATAATTATGAAATTAAGCAAATAATTGTGACATCTGAGTGCTGACCGTGTACTAGGCACCAGCCTAAGAGCTTTACATGCATCACACCTCATTTCATCCTCAAAATCTTGTCATTTTACAGATGGAGAAACAAAAGCCAAAAGCTTAAGCTTAATCAAAGTAGGAGCTTGAATTAAACTGCAAAATACAAGATTTGCTGGCAATAAATAAGATATCTTTATTATGATTACGTTAATAGTTAAAATTTGCATGTTTTCTAGATAGTCTGTTAACAGGATAAAAAAATACAAAAAGGTGAGAGGTTCTTAATGATTCAGCTGAATTAACTATAAAATTAAAATACCTGCTAATTATTTAGTATCTTCTAAAATAACACAAAATATATTCAATATGCAATACAAACCTCAGTAACCCAATTCTCCTAATATGCAATTAGTTATAACCTCTGAACTAAGAGGACGTGGTTTGGCTAAACAGAGAAATAACAATGTTTTTATCCTAGGTAATCTATACTTTGGAGTAGAAATACTCATTTAATACAATATGTTAATTATTAATATTTCACAAGGAGTAATCTTTATTTTAAAAAACAATGTTAATTATACCAATTTTTAGTTATAATTTGTTAATGTGAATTTGCCCAACCTAAATTCCTGTGTACCTGGAAAATACAACTTTTTAAAAGCTACTATTAATAATTTGCAACACAGTTTACTAATTCAAATTGACATCTCAACCTACTTATCTTTAAGGTACAGAATTTAGCATCTTTTTGTTGTTAAATGGAATTCTCATTAACAATGTAAAGCATTTTCCTTTCTAAATTGTATTTTATTCAATTATCTATAACAATGCCATATACTAGTAAGCAAAGCAAGCAACATTACTTTTTTTAAATAACATCTTTAATTAAAGTTTTTGCAAAGGTAGAATATTAAACTTAAAATAGGTCTTAGTACATCAAAATACTAAGTTCTCTAATTGTATTCCAAGATGGTCTTTAAAACATAATATCCCATATATCACAGAAGAGCAACCTTGATCTGCAATGAATTTTACAAACATAATAAATATATTTACGCCATTACACATAACAGTATGTACAACAGCAGTTGACAATAGTAGCTCAGAACAGCAAAAAGGATTAGCCCTGCCCCCCAAATCATAGTCCTGATGCAGACTGGACTTATTAAGGAACCTTGACTGAAAGAGGAATTACTAACTCAAAGTGTAGTAACTTCCCTTAAAAGAGAAGAGAAAAATTTTTTTTGTTCCTCAAAATAAACAAAAATGTTAGTTTGGTGTGTTCTTCATTAAACCATAGACAATGACAAAAGACAGAGTAAGGCAGGCTTAAAAAGGGAAGAATATAAACTTCATAATAATTTCCATAGCATAATAGGACTAAAATGCAAAGCTATTTAACAAACTCATGAGGAAACAAATAAAGCAACTATTTTTTAACTAAAGAATTCAAAATCTGCTATAGCTGATTCTGACAGGTAGGTGGAAGAAAGACATGAAATAAAATGAAAATGTACAAAGATGGATCAATAAACTATTACATTGCACAAAAGCTCAAAAAAAAGTTCAATATGAAATAATCAGAAAAACAGGAATTTTCTCAAGTGGAAGAAAATGCTAAGTCATAGAGAGAACTCCCAAGAGGAAATTACGTCTGTTTTCCTATACAAGGGGTATTCACCCTCTGGTAAGAATGGTGACATTATTGCTATGAGAATCAAAAATTACTCTTAGAGGGAGACAACTCTTTTCATTCCTCCATAAAAGCCAGGAAAAAAAAAAAAATCTTTGATTTTCACTACAGCAAAAGAAAATATTCATATAAAAGCTATATGTTATTTCCTAAAACCAGAATCTATTATACTCATCAAGCATACATTTTAATTACTACACACTGCTCAAGTCTTGATGTAATCTTAGAACAAGAGTGGCTTTGCTTTTAAAAGAGGCAACAGTGTAAATGTGACATTATGATGGCATTTTAATTAACAGAAAGAAATGTGAACATTTAAAAAATAGAAAAGCCCAATATAAAGATCCCCCTCATATAACAGACATTTTACTCTAGAAATTAATTGCACATTAAAGATTTGTTTTAGCCATATGTGGCACTCCACAGAAATTAAACATGCTCTCAGGCATTCAAATGGTCTGATTACACAAATGACCACCAAGCAAGAGTTTGTATATTGAAAGGCACACATTTCCATGTTTTATCTTGTAATTTTGGGTAAATTTTCTTTAGCACTATTGATTAATGTTTTTTTAAGTAAAAGGTGCCATCACCATCTGTGCAAATCTAAACAAATCCTCTCCAGAAACCATTACTTATTTTCATAATACCAAGTCTGAACTATTTTCTGCCTTTAGATAAACATGCTACTTTCATTTTAAAATTCTCAAAGTGGAAATCCCTTGCCTTTTCAAAGGAATGACATTTCAATGGAACCTAATACGAAATGATTTGTTAAATACAATGTTAAAAGCATGATTAAGAATTCAAGTACAATAAAAGATAAGCAAGTGACATTCTTACAGCAAAAGCTACTATAATAAAACTAAAACATGCTATTTGATTAAAAAGGACACAATGCAAATAATATGTAAGAGCACAATTTGGTATGCAATGTAGCTTGGACCAGCCTTCAGAATTTTCACAGGTAAAAGAAAAGCATTTGCCAAGTATACCATAATTAATAGGCAATACACAGGTGCAAATACAAAGGGTTATTTCCTGCTTCAAAAATAACAAAATAACCACTCTGAAAGCAGTGGTTGTTAATATTTGAAAAATAAAGTTATAAAAACAGGCCAGTAAACAACGCTACTATGAATACAAATGTTTGTCTACATAGAGGGCCCAAGACAAGCTGAGTATCATACAGTAATCCAAGTTTCAGTAGCATAAAAACTACTAGATAGCCAAAGGGTTTCACTTAAGCAACACTGCAGCACTGCTGAATTTTTATAGGTAGTTCAGGTCACTGACTTAAGCTTTATTGAGTAAATACAAACCTACTAGCAACTATATTGAAGAACAGTTGAACAACAGGACTTCTGTGATGTTACTCCCTCCCATTTCCTCTTCTCTCAGTCTCACTAATAATAATATATATTCTAAAACCTCTGTGTGCTTTGAGAGTCGTAGAATAAACAAACTTCCCCTCAAAAAACTAATTAATATTGTCAAAATAAAAACTGTATTACCAGTTATGGCAGCTAAATAAAATCTAACTACTAGCATGCTAGACACCACCATTTACACCAAAGTTTAGAACATAATTTAAAGAGATCAAGGTGGTAAGCTGGGTGGGAAGTTGAAAAAAAAATTTTTGCCTTTTTTTAAAGTTAAAAGATTTGTGTTAAAAAAGGAACACTATGTAATAGCTCACAGTTTTCTTCTTTGTAATGTACTTTTAAAAGTGTTTATGTGTTACTTCTGAAAACACAAAGGCAAAAGGAAGACAAAAACTGAAGATTAAAAAATATATCAATATACAGGTAACCTAAACACATGTAAATTTTGTCAAGATAAACCATGGAAAGTTGAATTCGTTGTAAGAACACAATGGTGAAGACAAGCATTCCTGCAGTTCTCCCAGGCAGCGAATTCACACTGAACACAGCAATGCCATATTGTTCTTCAGAGCCCCTTACAGAATACAGACCTATGCATTCTTAATATACATATTACATTTCTATTATTTTTAATATACAAGTCAAATTTCTATGCTTTCTTCCCGATGTGCAAACTGGAGCCAACGTCTTTATTTTCAATGGCCTGGAAGGGCCACCAAATGAAAGAGAGGTAACTTAGTGGCCCACCCACCTCTTCCCCCCAAATTTTCCCCTCAAATTACAAAGTTGATTTTAAAAACTTGTTGAATTAGAATAGATTTTTAAAATTCTTTACTAGTAAACACAAGAAACTTTTATAATTACTAAATTGTTTAATAAAAATCCAGGTCCTCACCACCTGCCCTATGCTAATCAATGCACAGACTGTTTACTGGATGTTTAGCTTAAAAACTAAACACATTTATAAGCACACACTTCAGCCCAACAGGAAAAGTCTACATATATTCATGTGTATACAATTTCAGCTAGATGGTATGCTTGCAAAATAAAACTATATTCCTGAGGAGCTAGTTTGGGGTTTCTTTTTAAGGTGTGGCACTAAAAGAAACAAATTAAGTTTTTCTGTAAGGAAATTAAAGTTGTCGTTTCAATTCCACTGAACTCAGACAAGACCCAAGTCTTTAATTACATTTAATAAGTATGAAAACCTAATTAAAATAAATATTCATTCCTGGGTCAAATTTTATCTCCAAACTATGATCAATGATAACTTTAAATCTTAAATAGATGTTTCATAAAGCTGGAAAGGAAGAGGTATATATCACTGAGGGAGAATAGCAAGTAAAAATATTTAAGACCTACTATGAGAGTTTTAAATTGTTTTCTTATACAAGTGAATTAAAATTCAACACAATTCTTACCCTTTTGTAAAAAGCTCACACGCAACTTTTACCAAATATAACCACATACAATAAGCAGTTTCAGTTCAATCTATCAAAACCGAAGTTTCTTCAGTTCATTCCAACAAGTATCTTCTGATTGAACCCAAGTTGGAGGAAGGAATATAGACAAAGCTTTACATGCTAATTACCGGTGGCAGGTACCTGTATTTAAAATCAACAATTATGGTTTTCCTACACAAAACCCCAACCCTCCCACCCAACAACCCCAGGTGCTACAGTTCCATGGCTTGCCAGTAAGTAGTGTCTATGTTGTCAAGGTCTATCTTTGTTCCAGTAGCTTTGCTTCTACTGCACTTTTCTGACATGCAGAAATGAAGTTTTGGTTGGCATATGCCCCAAGTTTCAAACTGTCCACTTTAAACTTTTTTTAAGTTTCTTTTATTTATAAAAGAAAAAAAGCAACTCTTCACCATTCTGCATCTCCAATGGCTTTGGAAAATATATAATCTCTTCCATTAAGATTCATAATGCCATCCTTGAGATGAAATTTCCATTTGTTTTTACTTCTGTGTATCTAAACGAAAGCAAAATTTAAAAAATTGAGAGATACAATCAGAAAACAGAGAAAACAAGTAACAAAAAATCCATACACACACACACACACACGCACGCACACCCACACCCCCCCCACCTCAACAAAACAGTATTTACAGTATTGTATTTAAAAATTGGTTTATTCTGTTTTTGCAGAGGCAGGGTTTCCCTATGTTGTGCTGGCCGGGCTCGAGCTCCTGGCCTCATGTGATCCTTCTGCCTCAGCCTCCAAAAGTGTTGGGATTACAAGCGTGAGCCACAGCACCTGGCCTAAAAATTGGTTTCTTAATAAAGTTTAATTTCACCAAAAAACAAAAACAAAAACAAACACACACACACCAAAAAAAAAAAAAAAAAAAAGAAAAAGAAAAAAAACAACTCACTAGGTGGGTTTAAAAACACATTTATCTGTAATTAGTACTATTTTATAGCTTTTAGTACTTGTGTTCATTAAAATAGTTAAAAAATATTTCTTTACAAAATGTCTTCTCTACCAGGTTTGCATATGTTCAAGGTCTACCTCCAAAAGACTATCCTCCACAAAGTTTTCCCAAATCTTACCAGCTAAAACTATTCTTTTCCACTGTTAAATTCCCAATGGTATTTTCACTGACATTTCTTACATTATTTGTTAAGTAATACAATTATGGACTCGCTTCTTCTACCAAAATAAAACTCCCTATAGCGCTCTCAAGACCTAACGTGGAACCTTATACATAGCAGTATTTTAAATATACATCTAAAGGATGCTAATCATCCAGTCACTTACAGCAGATTTCAAAAACTATGTACATCCACAGTTAAACAAAAAGAGCTGAAGGGCAGGCTCTGGGCACTCCCATCTTTGCCTTCACTTATAGTCCTTAGTTGTTTGTAATTCCATGGATTTGGTGGGGGAGAGGAGTTGTTAAACTTAATGAACTGAAGTGACCTTTCTTCCTTTTCCCAGTAAGTCACACTAATTATTTAATGTTCAGTTCAAGTTCCACATCTTCTGCAAAGAAGGCCCCATGGTTCTCCCTATTCTATGATCTAAAGGTACCTAAAAAAAAAAAAAATCAACTAGTTCAGGCTTTCATTTTCAGAAGAAGAAATGACAGCTTGGATAGGGTTCAATGGCTTGACTAAAGGTATACTGCTACTAAGTGACAATCATGATTTTCAAGTCTTGGTCCAGTACTCTTTTTACTAAATCAGTCTGTTTCACATAATGCAGAAATGCTCAACAGGTACAGATATTTTCTTTTTCTTTTTTTTCTTTCAAACAGAGTCTCACTCTGTCGCCCAGGCTGGAGTGCAACGGTGCGATCTCAGCTCACTGCAACCTCCCACTCCCAGGTTCAAGTGATTCTCCTGCCTCAGCCTCCTGAGTAGCTGGGATTACAGGGACTCACCATCACACCTGGCTAATTTTTGTAGAAATGGGTTTCACCAGGTTGGCCAGGCTGGTCTTGAACTCCTGACCTCAGGTGATCCGCCCACCTCGGCCTCCCAAAGTGATAGGATTATTGGTGTGAGCCACTGCGCCCGGCCAGGTACAGATATTTTCCAAGATCTCATTCCTAAAATTCCATGGCCTAACCTCCCAGTGCAAACATTCTTTACGACATATTCCTGGCAAATGGTTGTGCAGTGTCTGCTTAAATACGATTAGAAACAGTAAGCAAAGAATTTCAAATTAAGTTATTCCTTTTTGGAACATCTCTCTTGTAAAATCTTCCAGAGTTTATCCTTACTGAAATCTGCTTCTCCAACTTCCATTTGTTGATCCCAGCTCTGCTTTTTGAGACTTAAAAAAAAAAAAAAAAATCACTCAATCAAACAACCTTCATCTTATTTGGAAACCACTCTCATGTTCTTCTTCTGGATTCAAACTTTTCTTACTTATTAAAGCAAAACAAAGCACAATAAAGGTAAAACAGTAAGTAGGGCAGAGACTGCTGGACTAAGAGCTAATTATACCTCTGGTCTAAATACACTACGTAAATGCTAAATGTAGCATCTTAAGATTGATGACTTGAACGTCTAACAGACATACCAGACTTGGCATGTCCAACCAGCTCCACATGCAGCTTTTCCTCATCTGAATTGATGGTATCACCATCCTTCTTTCAGAATCCTCATCAAAAAATCTTGAGACTCATTCTTGATTCCTCTTTCTTTTCTACCACACATCTCAGAGTCAAGAAATCCTGTTAACACTCTTCCTTCAAAACAAATCCAAGATCCAACTAGTTCTCACCAACTTTAATACCATCACCATAGGCTGAGTCACCATTATCTCCCATTTGAATTATCATAATATTCCCCCTAAATAGTCTCCTTGTTTCAGCAACCTCTGCTTCCTCCTCATATTCTGCTCTCTACAAAGAAAGCAAAGTAATCCTTTCGAAATTTAAATCAGTTCATACCATTTGTCTCACTGAAACCTTCCGGTAACATTCTAATTCACTTAAGAGTAACAGCCATGTCCTTACAAAATCCTTACCATCCACCTTCCCTTACCTCTACCTCTCCACCTACTACTGTACTCTCCCCTTCCCTCACTCCAGTCCAGCCACACAGGCCTCCTCGCTGTTCCTCACATACAACAGACTCTGCCACCAGATAATAGGGCTAACTCTTTCCAAGTCTTTGCTAAAATGTCATTTTCTCCAAAGACCTATTATGACTATCCTATTTAAAACTGAAACCAAATCTGTCCTCTTTCCCTGATCTTTATTTTTCCATACCAATTATCAGCTTCTAACATATTAATCTTTTATTAATCTTTAAATAAATAAATAAATCCTAATTTATTATGTTTTAGCATCTATCTCCCCTGACTGGAGTAAGCTTCCCAACGGCAGGGACTGTTCGGTTTTGATCACTAGTGTATCTCAAGCTCCAAGAATAGTGCCCAGGGACATCATAAACAGTAAGCATTTGTTGCATGAAAAGACCTCTGTCTCCTCTTTTTCTTTGATTTCCTATAAAGTAGTATTTATCCTACAAACGTGTATATAAATGTATTTCCAGCATGAACCAAGTAACTGCAACCAGAAAGACAGTGGGCTTAACTAGCCCAAAACAAGAAAGTGATGAGTAGCCAGGAAATAGAGATTCTACAGACAAGTAAAGAAATTGACTGCATTTTGTCACAGGACAGGACAATTTGCAAAAAATAAATGTAGGAAAGTTTCATGGGCCAAATAATCCACACAGTCAACTGAAGTCATATTGGGTAATAAATGAAAAATATTTTTATATTAATAGAAGTACAAAGTCACAACTAAAAAAGCAATCCATTTCCTGGCCCTAAGCCCTTCACGAGGGAATGTTCTTAAAGCCAGGAGAAAGCCCTCTTAAATTTCCTAATTAAAAATGTGTTAAAGCAAGTTTACCTATATCTGATGCTATTTTCGCCAAATGCTCTATCAGCCCTTATCCACCCACATGTAAGCAAGAACTCTGCCATATTATTAGCATTTAACTAAGATTCTCATTTGATTGGCAATACAAGCTTTATTATTTCTTCTATGATCTCTTCTAAAATTGACTCATTGTTGACATGTGAAAGTTTAGGCTTCAAAACTACATTCCTGAAATTCAAGTTGGCTCAAACAATATCCAACCGCATTTTATGCAGTCACAGAACACTGCTATTCTTTACTATTGGCTAAAGACATCAAGTCACCACTCCCCTCCAATCTTCACAGCAACTCGTTTGATTCTCAAAATTAGACCTCTGCAAATTTTAAAATTATTTATCATTCAGCACACTATTTAGAGCTATTTTCCACTTATTAATTTAAAACACTAAAGTAATGTCTCTGGGAGCAAAACAAACCAATTTTAACATTTAAACTACTATAAGTACAGTTTGTGCCAAAGGAGAATACAACCATTGTCTTAAAGTAGGAAGACACTTAGAAGTATATTCTTCAGTCAGGCTAAAACAAAGGTCCTCTCTTGCCTGATAAATCTGACATCTCATCATGAAATTGTGTTCTGGATAATTTGGTTGCAAGGAGATCCTCTGAGACTTCCTAACAATTAAGATTTAATGGTATCTTTTGTTTTAACCTCATAGTCTTGCTCTATGTGTATCTAACAGGAAATTACACTTGTTATAATGCGCATGGTATATGGTTTTAAAAATAGTCTCTCAAAAGTCATTATACACAAAAATGAACACTGTAAAACTCTCAATGACCTTACTGTCTTTATTCTATAACTTCACTGGTAAAAAAAACTAGTCTAACTCCACCTTTTTATTAGCAAATAAGATCCATAGTACTGGCATTCTCCCTATAGATCTGTTTCAAGTAAGCACGGCTACTTATCACATTCATTTCCATAAATGCAACAGAATTAAGATTTTCTTCATCTATAAAGGAAACTTCATGCAGGGCACGAATTTTACATGTTCATAACTACATCTCCAGGGCCTAGAACAGTGTCTGGTACATTTCTGCACTCTATAAATGTTAAATAAATAAGCTTCTGTTAGAATTTTCATCATGTGGTAAAGATCTCTACTAAAATTATAAATGCAATATAATATTTGCTGTATTATAAATTTAATGATTGCAGTAAAATAAATGTATTCCAATTTAAATGTCTTAAAAACAAAAATCTCAGAAGTAATACAAATAAATCTAACAAAAATACTTAGAAAGCAGCACCCTGTTTAGGAATTAAGAACATAAGGAATCAATGGCTAGTCTTCACGGTATCTGGTTTAAAAATTCCTTAATGTGAGCAAACTACAGCAAAGTTAAATAATATTTTAAATGATTTTCAGTAAAAACGTATCTGTTTTTAGTACTGTTCATTGCCTTAGTCTTCTCCTTAATAATAACAGTTACAGAGATTCAATTGAACCCTTCTAGTTTTGAGATAGTTGAGGCTAAATAGAAAACAGAATTATCTCATTGAGTGAGCTATTACCATAAAGGACAACCTCAAAGTGGCTGTTTACTCTGCTTACAAGTTGAAAGACTGTCTAAATAGAAAAAGATCGTAGCTCTTTTCATTTCATTCATAACTTATTTTTCAAAGGTAAAGCTAAGAAATTAACCTTTCATTCTATTAAAATAATCCACAAAACTCTTTAACAGTGTTTTCATACTATTCATAATGAATTTAAGAGGTATGAATCAGCTGCGCAAATGTTTCAATAAGACAGAAAGAATAACGTAGGGAAGAAATTACAACACAAATAACGTCAGTAATCTGAAGATGACATCCTTACCTTATCATATTGGCATACAACAACATTTTCTGTGTCAAAGAGTTCCTGTCCTTCCTCATCACTCACATCATCTTCACTATTGAGGGGTTCCTACAAATAAAAGGAGAGTTTATTTATGTATTACTATAAGAAGGCCTAATATTCACTGAAAAAAAATATAGTGACCTTGATATTCTTTGAGAACCAAACGCCAAATGCATAATATGTATGTCAAGAATTTAATACTGTCAAATCAGCTGTTAACAGTTTGCCAATATTACTGAAATCTTGTAAGAAATTAACTATAATTAAATTAGTTAAGCTACGTAATTTGTAAGTCTGAAAAGATGTTTATGTTTATTTTCTTTTTTCTTTTTTTGAGACAGAGTCTTGCTCTGTAGTCAGGCTGGAGTGCAGTGGCGCAATCTCGGCTCACTGCAACCTCTGCCTCCCGGGTTCAAGTGATTCTCCTGCCTCAGCCTCCCAGTAGCTGGGATTACTGGCACGCGCCACCACACCCAGCTAATTTTTGTATTTTTAGTAGAGATGGGTTTCACCATGTTGGCCGAGATGGTCTCGATCTCTTGACCTTGTGATCCACCCGCCTTGGCCTCCCAAAGTGCTGGGATTACAGGAGTGAGCCACCACACCCGGCCTATCTTTATTTTCTTTATTCTTTAAAAACAGTTCAAGAAGATAATTCTCCACAATAACTGTTTAAGATGCCTAGAAGAGGACCTAATATGAAGGTTCAAAGGAGCTAATGGCACTTTGTACTACAAACCATATAGAACAGGTAACAGTGGAGAAATTAGAGGAGAAAAGAAGGGCAATGCAATAGGCTAACAGTCTACCTTGTTGTCTTTACATTAAAGAACCTGGACTCTAAATACAAATCAGCATGTTTAGCATGATGATGGTTATGGTAGAGGTACGAAGCAGAATTAAGACTCAGACTTTTTTTTTTCTTAAAGGCATGAAGTAGGAAATCTCAGCATTAAAGAGAGTTAGGGGCCAAGATAAAACCTAACTAGAGCATAAAATAACCAACCATGTTAAATTTTGCTTCAATTGAGACAGAAGATAAAAGATGTAACTGAGATTTCTAATAAATGCAGAAAGAGAAGACAAAACGAAAGTAGAGAGGACAATAATCAAAACGATATTATGGACAGGCACAGGGGCTCATGCCTGTTAATTCTAGCACTTTGGAAGGCCTAGGCGGGACAATCACTTCAGGCCAGGGGTTTGAGACCAGCCAGGGAAATACAGTGAGATGCCATCTCTACAAAAAAAAAAAAAAAAATTAGCAAGGTATGGTGGCATATGCCTATAGTCCCACCTACTCAGGAGGATGAGGTGGGAGGATTACTTGAGCCCAGGTGGTTGAAGCTATAATAAGCCTTGATCACATCATTGCACTCCAGCCTGGACAACAATCTGAGACTCTATATTAACAACAAGAACAACAACAACAAAAAAGAATTATGTCTAGATATTCTTTAACTTAAAATAGGTATCATCAATGTAAAATGAAAAAAAATTTCTAGGCTGTGTGCGGTGGCTCACGCCTGTAATTCCAGCACTTTGGGAGGCTGAGGCGGGCGGATCACGAGGTCAGGAGATCGAGACCATCCTGGCTAACACAGTGAAACGCTGTCTCTCCTAAAAATACAAAAAAATTAGCTGGGCGTGGTGGCAGGTGCCTGTAGTCCCAGCTACTCGGGAGGCTGAGGCAGGAGAATGATGGGAACCCAGGAGGCAGAGCTTGAAATGAGCCAAGCTCGTGACACTGTACTCCAGCCTAGGCGGCAGAGTGAGACTCCGTCTCAAAAAAAAATTTTTTTTGAGGTAAAATTCTTGTTAACAAAATTCACCATTTTAGCATTTGTACATGTACAATTCAGGTGCAATGAACATTTATAGTGTATATAACATTCACCACCACCTAGTTCCAGAACATTTCATCACTCTTACCCATTAAGCTGTCACTCCCCATTCTCCCTGTCCCCTGGCAATCTATAATCTGCTGTCTGTATGGATTTGCATTTTTCATATAAATGGAATCATATGATATATGGTGTTGTGTGGCTGACGTCTTTCATATAGCATGTTTTCAAGGTTCACCCATGTTGCAGCATATACGAATACTTCATTCCTTTTTATGGCTAAATAATATCCCACTGTTATCAGTGCATTTATCAGCTGATGAACATTTGGGTTTATACCATTTAGGTATCATAAATAGGGCTGCTATGAACAGTCATATACAAGTTTTTGTTGAAAAACATATTTTCAGTTCTCTTGTGTATATAGTTAAGAGTAGAACTGCTGGGTCATATGGATAATTCTATACTTAATTTTTGAGGACTATCAAACTGTTTTCCACAGCAGCTGTACCATTTTACATTTCCACCAACAATGCACAAGGGTTACAATTTCTCCAAATCCTCACCAACATTTATTTTCTCTTTCTTTTTTGAGTCTAGCTATTCTAGTAGGTGTGAAGTGGTTATCTCACTGTGGTTTTCATTTGCATTTCTCTAATGACTAATGATGCTGAGCATCTTTTCACATGCTTGCTGCCTATTTGTGTATCTTCTTTGGAGAAACGCCTATTCAAGTCCTTTGCCAGTTTTTAACTGCGTTATCTTTTTGTTGTTACACTGTTTAAGAGTTCTTTATATATTCTGGATAGTAGATCCTTATCAAATACATGATGTGCAAATATTTTCTCCCAGCTACTCAGGAGGCTGAGGCAGGAGGAACACTCTAGTCCCGGAAGTCAAGATGCTGAGGCTGCAGTGAGCCACAATCATGCCACTGCACTCCAGCCCCAACAGTGAGATTCTGTCTCAAAAAACAAAGATTAAAAACACCTTTTTAATCTACAAAGTCCACTTTTTCTTTGCTTGCTTGTACTCTGGCGTCATGTCTAAGAAACTGTTGCCAGCGGCTGGGCGTGGTGGCTCATGCCTGTAATCCCAGTACTTTGGGAGGCTGAGGCGGGTGGATTACAAGGTCAGGAGATCGAGACCACCCTGGCTAACATGGTGAAACCCCATCTCTACTAAAAATACAAAAACTTAGGGGGACGAGGTGGCAGGCGCCTATAGTCCCAGCTGCTCGGGAGGCTGAGGCAGGAGAATTGCGTGAATCTGGGGGGCGGAGCCTGCAGTGAGCCGAGATCATGCCACTGCACTCCAGCCTGGGCGACAGAGCAAGACTCTGTCTCAAAAAAGAAAAAAGAAAAGAAAGCATCAAGCACACAAAAAATATCAAGGATACACAAAGAGCATCTAAGCAAACCTACTGCCAGTGTAAAAATGTAAGTCTAACAGATACATACAAGTACCAAACAGGTGCAGAAAACACATTCTTTTCAAAGCATATACAAAAACCAAAAACCAAAAACTGACCAAATCAAGCAAGTCTCAAGCAATTTCAAAGGATTCACACATCACACAGATCATATTCTTTACAAACAAAACAATTAAGTCAGAATAGGATAGAAAAGAATAGAATGGGAAAAACACACTAAAGAGAATAAAGCTAAACTGATAAAAAATCTACACACCCCTGACAAGACTGAACAGGAAAAAAAGAGATGGCCCAATAATTATATCAGGAATGAAGATGACAAATGATTCTGGCATCAAAAAGACAATATCATGATTCACTTTATGTTAATCAACTTGAAAATTTAGATAAATATACAGAGAGTCCTAGAAAAACATAATTTATCAAAAAGGTCTCAAACGGAAACAAAATACTTGAAGGGCATGAGATTACTAGACCCAGGTATCTGTAGTGGCATGTTTTAATAAATATCAACAGAAGAATAAAATACGACCTTTGAAAAAAAAAAGAGCTCAAAATAGAGGAAACACGTCCCCAAATTCATTTTATAAAGCTAATGTAACCTGAAAACCTCATAAGAGAATGAGAACAGAAAATCACAGACAGTATCTATCACTCATAAGTATCTACAAAAAAGTCCCCAACAAAATGAATTCAGTAATTGATAAAGAGAGAAATATAAAATGATCAAGTTATGCTACCCCAGGAATACAAGATTGGTTTACAAATAGAAAATTAATTAATGAAATTCATTATAAATAACATTACAGTGAGAAATTGTACAATCAATCATCGCAGAAAAACTGTTTAATTAAATGCAACATCCGTTTACAGTTTAAAAAACAAAGCAATGCAAAGAAGGGAATGTACTTAACCTGATGAAGATATCCATTAAAAAAAAAAAAAAAACCACAATGAACATTAAACTTAACAGTGACGCATGGCAAAGATTAATTTTCAGTTTCAGAAGAAGAGAACGGTGCCTGCTATCACCATTTCTAATCAATATTGTTCTGGAAGGCTTAGCCAACAAGCCACAAAAAACTGCCATTCTTCATATAAGATGTGAATGTCTACACAGAAGATACAAAAGAATCTACAGATACATTATGAGGACTAACAAAAGACATTAGGAAGGTGGCTGGTTCAAGGATGAATATTAAACGCTCTACATATTTCCATACTACCAATAAACAACTGGAAAAGGTAATAAAACATGTTACTTAGAGTAGCATTCAAACTATAAAGAATTTAGGGGGGAATATGGGCAAGAGACCTCAAAAAGCACTTCCACACAAAACACAAATATCAAATAAATACACAAAAAGAGGCTAAAACTCCTAAGTGAGGAAATGCTAACTAAAACCAAAATGAAATACTATTTTCTACCTATCAGACCAGCAAAAATTAGGAAGCCTGACACTATCAGGTATTGATAAGGCAGTATGGACATCTGCACAATTATGTACTGAATGGCAGAAGTGATTTGGCATTTTATTGTAAAGTTGCAGCAGTGCATGCCTTAGGAGCCAGAAGTTCAATGTTTAGGTATAAAATTTAGAGAACCTCTTGCATTTGTGTCCCCAGAAGACATACACTACAATATTTCATAACTGTTTATAACAGTAAACAATTAGAAACAATCCTGATGTTCACTGGATTAGAAAAATTGATAAATAAAATTATGGTATATTCAGAATGAAAATAATTATAGCTATAAGCAACAACTTGGATAAACCTCAGGAATATTATTTTGAGGGAAAAAAACCAACTTGCAGAAGAATATGTAATTACTTCACTTATGTTATAAACATGCAAAACTAAACAATAAGCTATTTAGGAATATAAATATATATGGTAAAATATAAAGCAATTAATAATCAACACAAATGTATGAGCAAAGGTACTTTGATGGCCTAGGAAAGAATATGGGATTAGGGAGAGGCACCCAAGGCGCTTTAAATAATGGAATTTTATTTTAACCAGATGGTGGGCACCAGGATGATTTTTATCTTGAAACATTTCTATTCATTTGTGTCTAGTCAATATTCAATAATAAACTATGTTTTCTTTAGGAAAAAAAAATTACTTAGTTTAGAAGAACTTTGTACTAAGAAACAAGAAGACTGCATTTTAGGCTAAAGAAGGCAATTAAAATGAAAACTGTGGTGGGACAAATAGTTTTTGGAGCCTAGTAACTAAGCTGGAATAGTGAGGAAAACAAAGGTATACTTACATGCTTCTAGAAGAACACAGACATTAAGGGTATATGGGTTTTTAAGGAGATGGTACAGAACATGGACCAAAAGGTTTTAAATATTTGATAAATTTGTGACATTTGGTTCTTGAGTTTGCTCTCTCCCCAAATGTTGCCATGCTTTTTATATTACTGAAGCAAAAGCTTAACCACATCTACTTATCTACCAATGCCTTATGTTTAAGCCACATTATAAATGCGTAAGCCAGAGTTAGAATTACCTGTACTCTTTACTACACATATTAATACAATTTAATTTGTTATAATTTATTACCAGCTATATGAAATAGTTGTATTTTATGAAGATAAATATAGCCAGAATATAAAAACCTTACTAAAGTTAAATCAATCTAACTTTATCTTTAAAATCTTACGTTGTACAGCACCTAACAGTCTCTGAAAAAAATAGGATATAATTTACCAGTTTTGCATCAACTAAAAATGGAAATAATAAAGTAGATCATTGTAAGTATTTTACTAGAAACTTACTTCTTCCACCTGCCCATCTTCAGCTCCATCTTTCTCTTTGTCTTCCTCCTCATCATCATCATAGTCTTCTTCTTCATCTTCATCTTCTTCAGACGATGTATCCCCAGTTCCATCAACTTGTAAGACCAATGGAGCTTGTGTTTGAGCAGGCTGGGCCTGCGGTTGCTGCTGGCCAGTTGCAGTTATCTGTGCTTGGGCTGGTGTAGGTGCTGCCACTGTCGTAGGTATAACTTGAGTCTTATTTCCTGTAAATAAGATTTGCTGAGGCTGGATGATGACACCTGTCTGTGGTGAAATCCCTCCAGGAAGAGGAGCCAGTACCTAAAGCAAAAGAAAACCACATAACAGTAACTAGTTAAGAGGATCAAGTACGGTACACAGAAATAGGAACAAATGCTGAAGAATCACCAGAATGGCCATATTTCACACACAGTTAAAACTACCAAAGTACAAAAGCAATGTTTAACTAGTGTAGTGACCCACTAAATTTCTACTTTATCAAATTTCTGGAAAATAAGGATTTTCTAAAGATAACTGCTTCATTCACTGAGCACATACTATGTATATGCCAGATACCAGGCCAAGAGTTATACACTGCCTTCACATGAAGAACACTGGACTGAGAATCTGAAAACCTGGGTCTACCTTTTTTTTTTTTAGATGGAGTCTCATTCTGTCACCCAAGCTGGACTGCAATGGTGCAATCTCAGCTCACTGCAACCCCTGCCTCCTGGGTTCAAGCGATTCTCCTGTCTCAGCCTCCTGAGTAGCTGGGACTACAGGTATGTGCCACCATGCCCAGCTAATTACGTATTTTTAGTAGAGAAGGGGTTTTACCATGTTGGTCAAGCTGGCCCCAAACTCGTGACCTCGTGATCCGCCCGCCTCCCAAAGTACTGGGATTACAGGCATGAGCCACCGTGCCTGGCCAACCTGGGTCTACTTTTGTCTAAAGTCAGACATAAATACAGCAGAAGCAAGTCATTTAACTCCTCTTGGCCTCTGCCATTTCACTGTCAGACTAGGATTAATGGTTCTCAACCCTGGCTGCAAATAAGAACCATCTGGCAGCTTAAAAAGTACTGATACCTTGGTCATACCACTAATATTCTGATTCAGTGTGAGATAAATGCTAATTATTTTTCTAAAAACCACCAGATCAGATTTCTGAAGTTCCTTTCCAGGTTCTGTATCTAAGATTCTAAAGTAAGCCACAGCTTGAAAAAATGTACACTAACAAATATTAACTATACATACTATACGTATTACAATAAAGGAGGAGGACTGGATGTTTGTTACTTGCCATTAGGTTCAAGGAATGCAAAAATAAGACACAGAATTTCCTTTAAAACGCTTACACATGGTGTAACAGCACTAAAGACAAAAAAAAAATGGTAAAATAGACAAAGCACTAACAACTCAAAAAGAGACAAGACGTAGTACAAATATGACATAGTGTTATGGCAACACAAGAGAGTATACCAAATTCAACTTGGGGGACAAAGCACGATCAAATATTACTTATATTATTAGTAAATAATATTTGAGTTTCTGTTTGTGCTTAAAAGCAGTGATCCCCAACCCCTGTTAGAAACCGGGCTGCACAGCAGGAGGTGAGTGGTGGATGAGCCAGCATTACCATCTGAACTCTGCCTCCTGTCAGATCAGCGGCAGCATGAGATTCTCACAGGAGCAGGAACCCTACTGTGAACTGCACATGCAAGGATGGAGGTTGTGCACTCCTTACGCCTGATGGTCTGAATTAAAAGTTTCATCCTGAACCCATCCCCGCTGCCCAGTACGTGGAAAAACTGCCTTCCGCAAAACCAGTCCCTGGTGTCAAAAAGCTGGGGGACCGCTGCTTTAAGGAGATTAGCCAGGTTTTTCTATTTGTTTAGGGGAAGTGCAGGGAGTTGCCAGACGGCATTCTTAAGAGACGTGTAACATCAAGTGAAACCCAGAAGTGAAAGCAGTACATAATTTTGGAAAGATGTAAATAAACTGGATTAATATTACTGATCTGATCTTGTCTCTATCGTCATACTATTTTACTGACATTTAAAAAAGAGACACATAAACAAATAAAGTACGTAAGTTCCTCAAGAAAATAACCATTCCTCTTTCATTTTAGAGCTCACAGCACAAGAATATAACACAAGTAGATCCAAGTGTTTATTTTGATGTAAATGCAGCTAAAGAAAATACCTGGGAGTATGGCAAGAAATAAACCTGGAGACTTCAAAGAAATAAGATCCACAAAAAGATCTTATAAATTATGTTGAGTTGTTTAGGCTTTTCTCAGTAGGCAATGAAAAGCTGTTAAAAGGTTTTAAGATTTTTAGAAAGACAAGCCAGGCGCAGTGGCTCATGCCCATAATCCCAGCACTTTGGGAGGCCAAAGCGGGCAGATCACCTGAAGTCAGGAGTTCAAGGCCAGCCTAGCCAACATGGCGAAACTCCGTCTCTATTAAAAATACAAAATTTAGCTGGGCGCAGTAGTGCATGCCTATAATCCCAGCTACTCAGGAGGCTAAGCAGGAGAATCGCTTGAACCCAGGAGGCGGAAGTTGCAGTGAGCTGAGATTGTGCCATTGCACTCCAGCTTACGCGACAGAGCGAGACTCTGTCTCAAAAAAAAAAAAAAAAAAAAAAAAGAAAGATGACTATGAATCAGCCAGGTTAGAAGGGCACAAGATGAGAGGCAGAGAAACCATTAAGGAGACAATACAGTATTTACTGACAAATTATGGACATTACGAACTAAGGAAATGAAAAAAGAGGCTGAGAAAAAAAAACAATGTCAAACATATTAAGGGACTGCAACCATGGCAAAACTGCAGTTAAAGAAAAAAAAAAGGCCGCGTACAGTGGCTCACGCCCGTAATCCCAGCACTTAGGGAGGCCAAGGCGGGTAGATCACAAGGTCAGGAGATCGAGACCATCCTGGCTAACATGGTGAAACCCCGTCTCTACTAAAAATACAAAAAATTAGCCGGGCGTGGTGGTGGGCACTGTAGTCCCAGCTACTCGGGAGGCTGAGGCAGAAGAATGGCGTGAACCCAGGAGGCAGATGTTGCAGTGGGCCAAGATTGCGCCACTGCGCTCCAGCCTAGGTGAAAGAGCAAGACTCCGTCTCAAAAAAAAAAAAAGGAAAGAAAAACTATTAACAAGAATTGGTAGGGCTTCATACCTTGGATATTAGAGGTAAGGAAAAGGGAGGATTCTACACACCCAGTTCCAGAAAACAGAGTAAGCATCATAAAACTAGAGTCACGTCTGCCTCATTCACTCCTAAATCTCATGACCCTTATAAATAGCCCGAGACTCAGTAACTGCTTATTGAATAAAGGCCGAATGAACAGCTTAGAAGGCTGGAAGGAGAGTGCTGCCACCTTTGAGGGGATGATGAAAGATGGGCACAGACAACAGTAATTTTTTAATACATGTTTAATACATGTTGAATCTAAGTTAAGCTGTATACAGGAGAAATTAGAAACAACTGGGTCTATAGCACTGAAGAAGAGTCTTTTGTGCATATAAGAAGAGGGAAAGTACCCAGGGAATACATACAGAAGAAAACAGAATCCCATACTGATCATAATAGAAGATTATTTTACCTGCTGTATAACAGGAGCTTGTACTCCACCAGGTTGCATCTGTGGTATAACCTGTTGTTGTAGAACCACTGACTGCTGAGGCTGAAAGATATATTGGGCACCATTGGCTGCTCTGACCACCTGAAGAAGCTGGCCTAAAGCAAAAAGCATGCATTCCAAGTTATCATTTTAGCAGCGACTATCTCAAAAGAAATGAATTCATATTTACTTTCATAACACCAAAGGCACAAGAAATTATCAAGAAAACTGACAATTTTATTAAAGACTATCATTCATACACAGTATGCATAATCCTCCCCTTCTCTGACTTCTCGCCATGTTCAAATACATTCCTTAAAATGTTTTATTTTTTATATTTACATCCTCATTCAGCTATTTCCAACAAGGTTTTAACAACAGATTATGAGACTTGACTAAAGCTTACATTATCTTTGCTAACCTTAGGAGTCAAGAAAGAGCAGTAAGATCAGACACTTTGGGAGCTGTTCATTTTTAAAGCTTTAAAGGAACAAAAGCTTAATAGCTCATTTAATATCTTGAACCAAACAAAGTACCACAGAACTTTGCTTCAAAATTGGTAAAAGCAATAAAAGTTCGCTAACCAGTTATCGTCATACAATTCACACAGAATCAAATTCCCCCAATATGTTCCTTTAGATGACCCAGAATCTTGAATTGATTAAAAAGCAAATTACATTTTATTAAATATGTAGCAAGATAAGCCCCTAATTTCACAAATTTACAATAACAAAAATAACATACATACATAGAATAGAAAATAAATAACTATATAATCAAGATTACAGGGGACACTTAAAATCCATGTAAATAAATTTTTCAAGTACTAATATGCCAAAACACATGAGCTAGACACTGGTCTTTTGTCAATGAAGAGATACTATGTATAATAATAGCATACAATAAATTTGCTCTTAATATGCTCTAGGAATTACTTTGATATCACAAGTTCAAATAAGTTTAATACTCACTTGGCATGGTAAATGTGTTTAATAAAAAACTAGGTAAGCATTTTTATATAATCATACTTCAATAAGAGGGTTATCATGCACAGATCAAAGGTTCAAGTACAATTTTCATCTTCTTTACTGTATCCTCAACAACGATTACAGTTGTATGTGTTACGGCCCTCAAATAAAGTTATTTTAATAACCTAAACCAAATGGTGAAAGAAATATTAGTATTTTCCGTCTTTCAAAGAAGACAAAACCTAAGGGCTAGATAGTACAATTTTCTGAATTACATTTTAAAATGGTTCCATCATTCCTAATTACCTGAATTTGTTAATATCTGCTGAACAGGAGTCACACCTGCAGGGAGTGCTAAGGTAGCAGCCGTAGCAGCAGCACTCTGAAAAAAACAAAGAAAAAATATCAAAACCACATACATATATAAAACTATCTGTTTATCTCTAGCATATTTTAATAGTATATTAAACTTTTTGTTTAGAATATATCAAAATTTTAAAAATCTAATATGGCTAAATCCCATTTTATAAAATGGTACAAGATCAACCTAGCCTAAATAACCTACTAAATTATTTTAAGACGTTAAATACAACAATATCATTGGGTTTTTTCCCCTAGAGAAGGTGTTCTAAGTAAATCTCACAGGCACTGTAGCTCTTTTTTTCCTTCTCGTCCCATCAATCTTCTTTAAGGTATCAAGCCTTCCTATACTTGATCTAACCTATACACTTTTAGACAATACCCACATTAACAATGCTGTACAACATATGAAATAGCTACTTCATTACTGCTTCCTTTCCCACTGTTTCCTTATCCCCATTTCCTTGAGGTAGAAGTATAATTGTCTACTTTTTAGAATTCTTAACTTTTAAAATTTCCACTAAATCAACAGGTATCTATAAAGAACACTATATCAGAAGACTTCACTGGGAGTATAGCTGACAATTCTTCTAAGATGTCACATTAGCAAAGAAAAAAAGGGACATATTGGCATTATATTCTAGGTGAAACATGTATTAAGAACAGATTAATACAAAAATTCTGTAATTCTTAAGAAAAGCCACACCAGGCACAGTGGCTCACACCTGTAATCCCAGGACTTTAGGATGCCCAGGCAGGCAGATCGCTTGAGCTCAGGAGTTTGAGACCAGCTGGGGCAATATGGTGAAACCCCATCTCTACAAAAAATACAAAAATTAACTGAGCATGGTGGTGCACACCTGTAGTCCCAGCTACTTGGGAGGCTAAGGTGGGAGGATGGCTTGAACCTGGAAGGTGAGGTTGCAGTAAGCTGAGATTGCGCCATTGCACTCCAGCCTGGGTGACAGTCACAAACTTTAATTTCAACATTTTGAAATGAAGTTAGTATGTGACACTTAAGTTATAAAGATATACATGGGATTGTATTATGAATTTCTTAAAATTCAGGACAAATTCTTGACTTCCTGGAGAGTTCTGGAGAGTTTTCTCCTCCTGTCCTCCCACAAAGAATTATGCCATTCTCTCGTTTTTTATTCTGTACTTTAAGTATTTTCCTGTATCCCACTAGAGCTACACATTTGGTAGTTTTTTCCCTCTCTTTTCAATCTTCTTTGGGTACCAACCATTCATACATTTAATCTAACCTATACATTTTTAGAACTACCCATATCTAGAAAAGCTTAAAAAAATAAATATAACTGCTTTGGAAATGCTAGTATCAGAGAAGTCAACAAACTTGGAAAATTATTAAACCAAGTTAATAATTCAACTACTGTCTAGTCTGGGCTCTAGGTATATAGCTTTCCAAGAAAATAAACTTGTTGCCACTTGACAAACCTAAGCAATTTCTACAACTTGGGCCTGAAATGCCCACTGTGTCTCCAGAATTTAACGATAGCCCACCAGGTTGATCCGTGTTTAAGTCGAATACTCAATTATCCAATTTAAGATAAATCTTGTCTATATAAGCAAATTAAAGGTTATCTAAGTTTAAGGAAAATATTAACCACCACATACTACTAAGAAATATTTGAAAACAAAAAAACAACAAAAATATTATTTAGAAATATCAAGGGCCTATAATTCGTATTTTGAAAGATAACAATTCTTCCTCTACCAGCAAACCGACATAATAGTTTCTATACAGAATATATGACCCAGTAACTACCTGCACACCCCCCACAAATTCAAGCTGTATAACAGATATTTGCTGAGTCATGTACCATACACAAACCACCTTGTACTTAGTAACTATTAAAATTTCTTCTTGTATTCCACAAAACAGCCCAAACACAAATAATGCATTAGACCAATCATTTCATAAAAATGAACTGAAAACAATGGTTTAATAGAAGTTCCCTGAAATAGCCTTCCACTATTATTATCCCACATTTTTATGATTAGTTCATTTCTAAAGCAAACAGAGCCATTAGAAAGAACAAATGTATTTTTGCTGAATATTTCTGAATCAGAAGTAATAATGCAAACCCACAAAAACCTAAAACACTTTCATTGGTACAAAGCTTATACTGATTATGTTCAGAAATACATGAAGGAAACACTGACTAAAAACAACAGAGTAAAACGTAAAATATACAGAAATGTTAAATCAATTTTTCCTGAATAACTGACCTATAATTTGTTTAAATACATCTGCTCTCTAGAATAAAGGAGACTTAACCAGTAGTAGAGATAGACCACTAATTTTTATCCCAGAAATAATTTATTAATTCAAAATTATCTTCCACAACATTTAAAAATCTTTTAAATGTTAAAGGAGATTCTGCCAAAATTTGTTTTAAAATAATGCGAGTTATTCCCTAGGATATAGTCTTAATAACATCAACTGCAATACAACATATAGTGAGACTTTTTTTTTTTTTTAAGGGTGGAGGTTAAAAAAAATTGGGGCCTGAGACTTAAAATGGAGTTTTTTCCAATAAAAAATCTTGTGAGAAATAACGGGCATGAAATTTATTCTCATGTAAACGAAATGATTCTAGTAACTGTAACTACAAGTACAAATAGAGATCTTTGATATTTGTGAATTTAAAAACTGCAATTTCTGCTATCATGTAGAAACTTTCAATTCTGCCACAGTATGAATTTGTGAGGCTGGTAATGTGTAGGAGGAAGTCATCTGCCTAGTGGGTAAGTCCTTCTCATCTGGCTTTTACCACAAATGAGCTTTGTGATTCACTATCACTCGCAGAGTAGAACTGATCTTTTCATATACTGCTTTTTTTAAAAAAACTTGAGGCTGGGTGTGATGGCTCACACCTGTAATCCTAACACTTTGGGAGGCCGAGGTGGGCAGATCACTTGAGGTCAGGAGTTGGAGACCAGCCTGGCCAAAATGGTGAAACCCCATCTCTACTGAAAGTACAAAAAAATTAGCCAGGTTGGTGGCATACACCTGTACTCTCAGCTACTCAGGAGGCTGAGGTAGGAGGATCACTTGAACCTAGGAGGCGGAGGTTGCAGTTAGCCAAGATCACACCACTGCACTCCAGCCTGGGTGACAGAGCGAGACTCCATCTCAAAAAAAAAACTTGAACAGAAAAAAAAAAAAAAATCTCATTCCTAGTACTAACTACTTACGTAGGCTAAAAGATCTTTTTATAAATATTGATTCTTTCTCCTTTAAATAAAATTTTGGCTGAAGAATGAAATGTAAGAACTGAGTCAACACTCAATGAAATTAACGGTCTGTATATTTTAAACAGAATAAAGAAAAACCATTTATAAGAAAGTATTGAACTACTCTGACTGTATTTTAATGTTTTATCCAAAAAAAAAAAAAAAACTTCAAGCATATAGGTAAAGATTTTCTAGGGATCTGAAGAGGTTCTTTCAAGTTCATAGTTAAACTATACTACATTTGTTGAGAAATATTATATATCTGAAATGTAATTTGAAAATGAGTGAGGACTTGTAAAGTTTAGTGGACAGTCCTCAGAAATATAAAACTTCTAATGTAACTCAACTGGTTAAAATGTATTCTATGGTAATTTACACACTATAATGACTTATTAGACTATAGTATGGTTAAGTCAAAGCAATATTTTTAAATGCTTGATTTTAAAAATAGTTATACTGAACTATCCAAACAGTTCATCTCCATTTTTTAAAAGTTCACAATTCTTAGCCTTCCCAACTTCTTGCAATTACCAGGTCTCCTGAAACAGAACCATACTTGGCATTGTAAGTTTGGTAGGTACCCTAAAACTTTTTCGGACATAGTAGGGAATGGAGCAACTCTCACAAAGCACCATTCTTTTGGTATTCTTAAACAATTCCATAATTTTATGAACCTTAATGTCTAGGTACAAGCTAAACTTCAGATCCAATATTCAGGAAACTAAAATGGCTGTTCTGCCTGAGTCTTCAATAAACTTCAAGTTGTTAATATATGACATATATAGGCATAATCACAATTTGAGTTAGAATTAAGTACAGCCAATCAAACTGCTACATTCTGAGTCTTACCATGTTTGATGCATTCATATGCTGTATCAACTTAGAATCTGGAACAATAACTTGTGGTGCTGTGGCTACAAAAAAACAAGTACACATGTAAACAAGGAAACATGAGGCTATTTTCTGATCACAAGAACACTTTACATACAATGATGAAAACTTTTTTCATGTTTTCCATGTTTTCTACACTCAAACGCTTTCAATCATTTGCTCTCAGGACAGTATAAATTTATACGGCAAATAACAGCTGTGATATACCCACCCTATACTAGAAAACACAAATATTTAAGCTTTGGGAGGCCAAAGCGGGCGGATCACTTGAGGTCAGGAGTTCGAGACCAGACTGGCCAATATCATGGTGAAACCCCATCTCTACTAAAAATACAAAAAAAATTAGCTGCATGTCAGGCCGAGGCATGAGAATCACTTGAACTCGGGAACTGGAGGTTGCAGTGAGCCGAGATCATGCCACTGCACTCCAGCATAGGTGACAAGCTCCATCTCAAAAAAAAAAAAAAATTTTTAAGTGACAATTCCTAAGGATGCAAGGGAATTTAGGAACATGAAGTAGTGAGTTACTTAACACCTAAACATACACACATACACAGTTCTATGCATTCTTAAGTAAACTGGATATTTTCAAACATAATTTTGTCTTAACTCAAGGTTAACTGTTTTACTGATACAATGATACCACTGTTGCAATGAGTTACTAATACAATAAAAGTAAGCTCAAAAAGTTGTGACTAGTTTTTGAAATCTACATAGTACTTTTCTTCCAATATGACAAGCTGACAGACTCATGCTACTTTCATCGGCTGTTTAAAAAATACAAATCAGCCGGACGCGGGGATGCATGCCTGTAGTCCCAGCAACTCAGAAGGCTGAGGTGGGAGGATCGCTTGAGCCCAGGAGTTTTGGGCTATAGTGTGCTATGCTGATTGGGTGTCCAACTAAGTTCAGCATCAATATGGTGGCCTCCTGAAAGCAGGGGACCACCAGGTTGCCTGAAGAGTGGTGAATGGGCCCAAGTTGGAAAAAATACAAATCAGAAATAATGGCAATGTAATTTAAGCATAAAAGTAATTAAATGTTTGATTCCGCAAATTTCAGAGAACAGACGGATAACTCCATTATCCTAATATTCTCTGAGTGAAGAAAATCAAATTTTAATTTATGATGACCTAAAATCCTAATGCCAGGTCTGAAGGCAACAGGAAGAACAGTCATCAAAAAATAATAAAAGGATAAAATTATTTGATACAAAGTATACACTAAAATTAGGTATGAAAACTACCACTAGATATCAACAGTAAAATAACCCAAATAGACTCTTCTACTGTGTATCATTACCAATTTTAAGACACATATATATACTGTCAAATGAGGCAAATAAGTAACTAAATGATTACATTAAAATGAACTTTTCATCTACTTCTAGTGTCCTCTCCCATAAAAGCAGATGCACTGAATTAGAACGCTCAGTAAGTTTTATAACTGAATAGACGTGTGTCATGAGAGAAAATACAGATCAAGTTTCTTAGCGTTTTCTGGGCTCAGATTTTCCTCAGCTGTGAAACTGAGCCAAGGGCTATTTTACAAAGCCTTTATAAGGTGCCAATGAAACAGTATCTATAAAATGACTTGCAGAGTACAAAGCACTATGGACACAGTCTACGAATATTTGCTTTTTCTTAGCTTTAATCCAAGAAATATAAATTAAGGTATGTTATATATCCACGCTTAACTTATAATAAATCTAATTCAGTCCGTTTAGGCTTACATAAATTACTATGGAACTGAATTTTCAGACTGCCAAAGTATACAAAAAACTCTAGAATTTAAGATACATTTTAAGAACTAATCTGAAATATGTCTCTGAAAGAACATGTTTCATAGAGAAAGCAAATAACTATTTTACCACATAAAATAATAAAGCCCTTAGTAAATAAACCTTTTAGGTTTAACTTATTTTAGGAAATCCATCACTACATAGCCTTTTCAAAACTAAATAGTAATACAACTTGGGCTTTCAATCAGTAAATTACTTGTCTACCATTACTCTACAGATACAACCTACATTAAATATAAATTTATATACATTTACATACACCCACACCCCTCAGCCAAGAGAAAGGGGAAAAAAAAGCCCAAAATCAACATAGGGGTTTTTGTTTATTTTTAGGTTCTCCATGCGCCCCTTAAAAGACAAGATCCAAGAAATGTAGAATATTTCTCTTCTCTCATGACGACAAATTCCAAGTCATAAGTAGGAAAACAAATCCAGTCTCACCTTGCTGCGATGCAGGAATAAGGACCTGCTGGGTCTGCGCTTGCTGAGGTACCGTCTGCTGAGGCTGAGCTTGCTGATGGTGGTGATGGTGGTGATGCTGCTGCTGCTGGGGTTGATGCTGCTGTTGAACTTGCAGTAGAAGCTGCTGCTCTTCTGAATGAAATCCATCTACTGCCCTGGACTGCATTAGTTTGTTTTCCCATAACTAAGGCAAAGAACATTAAAGATTTCTAAGTGAAAAATAACTCTGGACAGACGAACACACAGTTTTATTAATCTCTTTATAAAGTTATTCCATTTTAAAAACTGATACAGACACAGCAATACAACAAATCTATAATTCTAACCCAAGTGTAAACAATAACAAAAACAAAATTTTAAAGTATCAAACTTCATTTTTACCACATCAGAGTACTGGATATTTTGTTTCTTTTTCTATCTTCAATAAACTTTCTATAGTAATTCCTTAATCAGCAGCTATTATTTAGCAATGAGTTTCATATAAGCTACTTCTTTAGTAATCAAAGATTATCCTTTATAATATCAAAATCATTACTAAATTATTTTTATATGGAACTTTTTCCTTATAAAAATACAAAATATAAAATTTTCTGCTTCAACATAAAAAACATAAAAAACATAAATTCTCAAATAACATACACAATATAAATTCATTTAGAACAGTGAGAAACAGAGAGATAATCCCCCGAAGAAGAAAGCCTAACTTTCCATCTGTCCAATCCTACAGAAAGAAAAAGAACCGGCGATGCCTGAAGGTCTTAGTAGTTATCGCAACACTTCTTGAAATGTCCTTCCTTCTTCCATTATGCCAATTGGCAATCCTTTTCTGTTCAGCCATTTCTATTTTCTCATTTCACCTTAGGTTCTATGATGGGAAAAATCAGAATGGACAAAAAGAAAGAAAAGAAAACATGTGCAACGATTTCATTCTTCTACCTAACACATTTCCTCTCTACCAGGTTTAGTGTTCATTCTGGAGCCTTAACTTTATAAGAAACTGGTCAAAAAGTCACAAACTATTCCCTGAAAATGCAGATAAAACTTCATTCAGTCATTCCGCACACAAGGGTCTATACATACTTTGTCTTCTCTTCTAGGATTTGCTCTTGGGATATTGCCTAATTGACCTTAAGCTTCTAACAGATCCTTCAAGAACGTCCCTTTGCCATACTCACAGAAAGTTTTTTATTTTATTATTATTATTTTTTAATTTAAGAATTAGAGACAAGATCTCACTATGCTGCCCGAGCTGGTCTCAAACTCCTGGGCGCAAGCAATCTGCCCGGCTTGGCCTCCCAAAGAGCTGAGATTACAGGCATGAGCCAACATGCCTGGTCATACTCCGTAGAGATTTTTTATAACCTCCTGACCCTTTCAATCATTCCAGACATTCTAGATTTGTTGTCTTGATGCTAGTAACAATTCCACTAAATCTCTAATGGCTTACTGAAAAAGCAAATATTAAGGTCAATTTCCTAGGGAATCCTACTGGCAGGCACAGTATTTAGATTTACCTCAAGTCTATTCTTAGAGAGATGGTAACAAGATCTATCTCACTGGTTGCTGAGAGGATTAAATGGCATATCTATGTAAAACAATTATCAGCGTTACATAAAACTGGTGATCAAAATATATTATTATTGGTGGCAATGGTGGTGGCATTAACTGTTTAATAAAGCCTTATACCAGAAGTCAGGAACCCAGTTAGTCCTGGTTTGGCCACTTATGTAACCTAATCATTTATCTTTCTTAGGCTTCTTTTTTTTTTTGAGACAGAGTCTCGCTCTATCGCCCGGGCTGGAGTGCAGTGGCCAGATCTCAGCTCACTGCAAGCTCCACCTCCCAGGTTTACACCATTCTCCTGCCTCAGCCTCCCGAGTAGCTGGGACTACAGGCACCCGCCACCTCGCCCAGCTAGTTTTTTGTAGTTTTTAGTAGAGACAGGGTTTCACCGTGTTAGCCAGGATGGTCTCGATCTCCTGACCTCGTGATCCGCCCGTCTCGGCCTCCCAAAGTGCTGGGATTACAGGCTTGTCTTAGGCATCTTCTTTACCCAAAAGGGGAACCAATCGGATTAGATTACTTCTAAACTCACTTCCAGTGAATAAATTTAAGTCTCTGCTAATCCCAGGCGAAAGACAGCTAGCTTCTTCCTGTAGTAACAAGCACTACTTTTTGAGAGCCCATGTTGTGTCTGATTCATCTCTGTAAAGTGGGCATCTAGCATAGCGCACCATCAAAATAGATACTCATATGCTAAATAAAACACATTATGACTAATGTATTATATATAGTAAGGCTTCCAAACAGTCTGTTATCACCCAAACCTTCTACATCTTCTCCTCTCTTCCAAAACAAAACAAAGCCTGTTTCTTGTGAGCCAAAAATCAAGGTGAAAAAAAGTCTTATTAATGTTTTGTTTAAAAAGTGTTTTAAATCGTAATTTTCTAAATTTTATGCTTCACTTTTATCACCTCCAATTGGTTTACCCATAGCAATCTGGACCCACCACTTCAACGAAGCTCCTATGATAATGGCAAATATTAATGAATATACATTATGTGTGGCTACGTACTGGGCACCATGACTCACCTAGACTCCCGTGTAAATGACCTAGAAGTCACAATCCACCCCAACAGTCTACCATTACCGTCTATTCTGATTCACTGTTCCAATGTATCTCTATGACGCGGCACCGGTCCTTTCTGCCCAGCAGTACTGCAAACAGTAGTAATGTAGTGACTGAGCGCTTGAGTTTCCTGCATCAAGTCATACAGTCCACAAATAATTATGTCCTATATGCTGAACACTGTTACAGGCATTGAGAAGATACTGTGGGCCGGGCGCGGTGGCTCAAGCCTGTAATCCCAGCACTCTGGGAGGCCGAGGCGGGCGGATCACGAGGTCAGGAGATCGAGACCATCCTGGCTAACACGGTGAAACCCCGTCTCTACTAAAAAAATACAAAAAACTAGCCGGGCGAGGTGGCGGGCGCCTGTAGTCCCAGCTATTCGGGAGGCTGAGGCAGGAGAATGGCGTAAACCCGGGAGGCGGAGCTTGCAGTGAGCTGAGATCCGGCCACTGCACTCTAGCCCGGGCGACAGAGCGAGACTCTGTCTCAAAAAAAAAAAAAAAGAGAAGATACTGTGAACAAACCTGAGAAAAATGCTTGACCTTACAGAGCAGACATTCCAGTGTACGCTTGCCCTTCCAATCTATCCTCTATAAATCAGTGATCCTCAAAATGCGGTTCTAGACCCAACATCAGCATCACCTGGATACTTGTTAAAAATACTGAATCAGCAGCTCTGGGGGTAAAACCAGAAATCTAATTTAACAAACTGTTCATTCAGGTTATTCTGATGGATGCTAAAGTGAGAACTGCTTTAAAATCTAAACCGATGTTTTTCAAACTGAGGACTGCAACTCACTAGTGATTCAAAGTCAATTTAGAATTTTCTTTGCAGCCCTCTCTCCTCCTCTCCCTTTCCTCTTTCTTTCCCCTTCCCTCCCCTTCTCCGTCCCTCTCTCCTTTTCCTTTCTCCTTCTCCCTCCCTCTCTCCCCTAAGGATGTTTTTTGTAAACAAAATAGAATTGAAAGGAAAAATCAGACTGTACTGCACTGAGAAAAAACTTTTGCAGATTTGTCACTCATATACATTATTCAAAATGTTAAATACTATTAATTCTTAAGGAGAGTCCTAGTCAAGAAGTTTGAGAAACACTGTTCTACACTGTTATCAAGGTGAATTTTTTAAATTTATAAATATGATATCCTCTGTTAAATACTGGAACCACAGAGCAAAGTAATTTATTTACCTACCTACCTACCTACCTACCTGATATGGTTTGCCTGTGTTCCCACCAAAATCTCAACTTGAATTGTATCTCCCAGAATTCCCATGTGCTTTGGGAGGGACGGGTAACTGAACCATGGGGGCTGGTCTTTCCCATGCTATTCTCAGGAGACCTGATGGGTTTATCAGGTGTTTTTGCTCTTCCTTGTTCCTCATTTTCTTTTGCTGCCAACACATAAGAAGAACCTTTTACCTACTGCCATGATTCTGAGGCCTCCCCAGCCATGTGGAACTGTAAGTCCAATTAAACCTTTCTCTGTTCCCAGTTTTGGGTATGTCTTTATTAGCAGCATGAAAACAAACTAATATAGTAAACTGGTACTAGTAGAGTGGGGCATTGCTGAAAAGATACCTGAAAATATGGAAGCGACTTTGGAACTGTGTAACAGGCAGAGGTTGGAATAGTTTGGGCAGCTTAGAAGAAGACAGGAAAATGTGGGAAAGTCTGGAACTTCCTAGAGACTTGCTGAATGGCTTTGACAGAAATGCTGATAGTGATATGAACACGGTTCAGGCTGAGGTGATCTCAGATGGAGATGAGGAATTTGTTAGCAACTGGAGCAAAGGTGACCCTTGTTCTGTTTAAGCAAAGAGAGTAGCAGCATTTTGCCCCTGCCCTAGAGATTTGCGGAACTTTGAACTTGAGAGATGATTTAGGTTATGTGACAGAAGAAATTTCCAAGCAGAAAAGCATTCAAAAGGTGACTTCGGTGCTGTTAAAAGCATTCCGTTTTAAAACGGAAACAAAGCATAGAAGTTCAGAAAATTTGCAGCCTGACAATGCAGTGGAAAAGAAAAAGCCACTTTTTGAGGAGAAATTCAAGCTGGCTGGAGAAATTTGCATAAGTAGCAAGGAGCCTAATGTTAATCTCCAAGACCATGGGGAAAATGTCTCTAGCCCACATCAGAGACCTTCACTGCAACCCCTCCCATGATGAGCCCAGAGACCCAGAAGGAAAAAGTGGTTTCGCTGGCCAGGCCCAGGGTCCCCATGCTGTGTGCAGCCTAGGGACTTGGTGCCCTGTGTCCCAGTCACTCCAGCTGAAAGGGGCCAACATAAAGCTCAGGCTGTGGCTTCAGAGCGTGGAAGCCCCAAACCTTGGCAGCATCCATGTGGAGCTGAGCCTGCGGGTGCACAGAAGTCAACAATTGAGGTTTGGGAACTTCTACCTAGATTTCAGAAGATGTATGGAAACACCTGGATGGCCAAGCAAAAGACTGCTGCTGCAGAGGCAGAGCCCTCATGGAGAACCTCTGCTAGGGCAGTGCAGAAGACAAATGCGGGGTCGGAGGCCCTACACAGAGTCCCTACTAGGGCACTGCTTAG